AAAGAAAGAAAGAAAGAAAGAAAGAAAGAAAGAAAGAAAGAAAGAAAGAAAGAAAGAAAGAAAAAGGTATAAAGAAAAATCTGTTGGTTGCCCACTAAATGTTGATACTAGAATTTGATGCTTGAGAAAATACCTAAAGCATTGGTTTCCATGATTCATTCGGAAACAGGATTTAAACCCTTGTCAGCCATTATTAAAGAGGGGCTCACGTGATCAAAGGAGGCATAAGAAACGTCACTAGTAAGCTCACGAAGATGTTGTTTCACAGGTTAACTTGCTTTTAAAGCGAGGATTGCTACAATACAGAAGTGAGGGATAAAGGGGATTGAGGTATACTCAGGAAACAAAATAGCACACAGTGATATAATTTTTTTTATTAAAAGGAACAAGATTTGCATAAATTCAAGCAATACAAGTCCTGTACTGTATAAATATTTGTATGGACACTGTACTTTAGATTCTTGTATAAAATGAATGCTGGAATCCGTAAAGGAGGGAGATTGTCTTTAGTCTTACTTTATTTCTCCCCTTGGGGCTACTTGTTATTTATACCCAACTATGGTATTCTGAGTTTTCTAATGGATACACATGGCAGAAAAACTGACCCGGAATAACACACGATTCTATAAAGCAGCATTTCCCCAAATGAGGTCAGTATGATATGGATTTAAAAGTCAATTAAATTTGGGGAAAAAAAAGGTGAAATTACATCACACCAGTTACCTTACTGCAAGACTTCAGTGGGCATCTAAAATTCCATAATGAGTTGTGCATCTCCAAGAGGAAAATATAAAAATGCTCTGCTTCCTAAATACGGCTGATGACTGAAACCTGTGCTTTGGAGAATATCTCATAGGACTAGGTTTTCACTAATACACTTTTGGGAAATGTTGTTCCAGGGCAATTTTGGCACCATTGGTCCCATTGTTGAAGGCAAAGTCTGTGCTTTTCACCCCCTTCCCCATTGCTTCTAAACATCAAACCCTAATAGATAAAAGAACAGCAGGACATGACCATGGATCTATAATTTTGTGGATGGAGAAGACCAAGAACAAATGCCTCTTATCTGGAGTCATGAAAGACATTGAGCAAAGTCAAGAGAAGGCTTAGAGATATTAGCGGGAGGCAGAGATGAAGAGACAAAGGAGAAGAGAGAGAGAGAAAGAGAGAAAGAAAAGCCCGTAGGTGCAGGAAATAGTGACATCATAAACTTTTCCTTTGCTTTCCTTTAGTCATCATTGTCTACAAAACTTAAATGAAATTTATGAAAAATTATTCCTTGCATTTCTTTACTTCTCCATTTCATTTAAAGTCAGAGGATATACAGCCAATAAAGGAGCGTCCTCAGCATTAAAATATTGATCTTTGTATTTATGTTCTATATTAAATTTACAGCAGCCAAGATCGAACGTTGTTATCGACCAACATGATGACCTCTCAGATCCACAAAGCCGGAGGTGAATCAATATGAGGCTAGACAGGAAACCTCCTTCATTATTTTAATTGTCCATAGTACTAATGAGTAACTACTCCACACAGAGTTTCTCGTTTTCTGTTGTAAAATTCAGTTAGGAGGCCTGTCTTTGCATTTCAGCTCCAGCCCCTTAGTCATCAAGTGCCTTAGATAAAACCACCATTTCAGTGGTCCTTGCCTTTTTTCCTTATCTGTAAAATAAATCTCCTGATTAGATGATCTCTGTGGTCTCTTCTGTGTTGTGTAGCATTATTAATACCTAACCTTATAATGGAGATGGATGGAAAACAGAATTATATCTGGGCACATAAAGGAGACCTTAAACATGGCAAGCAGCTCACAGGCTTTTGACTCTAAGAAATTTTTTTAATACCAAAATATCATGATTAATTTTTCACAATAATTGTTTCAAAATCCATTGAGAACACGTGAGAGACAAACAGCTATTATAATTTTAATGATGCTTTGTATTAATTTATGTATGTAATATACATATATATGTAATATACATGCATGCAAAGTCTATGGATGATGTTTTATCTTGCACATGCGTTTTGAATCCCTTGGTACAAATAAGATAATGCAAATAGAAGCATTAAATTCAGTCTGATACATAGGAAGGCTCAAGAAATGGTAAATGTCATCATCAACAGCATACAAAGTATCTTCAGCACACAGGCAGGAATGACGGAAAGTTATCATCTCTTACTGATGTGGAGAGAACATCAATCCTAAGATCTGATTACAGATTAAAAGTCCCAGATCTGTCACTAATCAGCAATGTGACCCTGTGCAAGTCAATCTCCTCTTTGGCCTTCAGTATTCACAGTCAAAAGAAGGAATAAACCGGAATAGCACTTTTTTGCAGCTCTCAAGTGCATTTCCTTCTGTACATGTCTACCAGGAACTGAGCTAAAGATTCTAATTTATTTTTGTCCAGATAAATGAGCAT